ATGCTTTTGAATTGTGGTGCTGGAGGAGGCTCTTGAGGGTCCCCTGGACTGCAAGGAGAAGAAACTTATCCATTCTAAAGGAAATCAACTCTGAGTGCTCACTGGAAGGACAGATCCTGAAGCTGAGGCTCCAATACTTTGGCCATCTCATGAGAAGAGAAGACTCCCTGGAAAAGACGCTGATGTTAGGAAAGTGTGAAGGCAGGAGGAGAAAGGGATGGCAGAGGATGAGATGGTTGGACAGTGTCATCGAAACGACCAACATGAATTTAATCCAACTCCGGGAGGCAGTGGAAGACAGTAGGGCCTGGCCTTCTCTGGTCCATGGGGTCACGAAGAGTTGGACATGACTAAACGATTAAACAACAACAACAAAAAACTATGGAAGCAAATTCCATGGCTTACAACTACTATACCAGATGTAATAAAAAGTCATTTTGTTCAGTATAAGATGTATAGTTAGGTCCTGATGGTCACAGCCTGTACAAAATTGATAATTTTATTAACATTTCAAGTACAAAAGATACCTGTTGAGATATCACTCCTCTGTTTCCCATCTTAATTATATTCTACAACTTCTTAAATAAACAACAGTGCTTCTTCAGGAAAATTAATGATTAAAAAGTAAAAAGTAAAAGCTACAATCATTTATAAGCCTGGTTTTTATTTTGAGATTTCATGAGAACTATGAAAATCACACACACAAAAAAAAACTTTTAAGCTTTTTCTTTTCTTATTTAACTTCGAGACACTAATCACAGACATTTTTGCCAAAACAAGAGAGATCACCTCCACCAAAACTGAATTTTCTCCTATCTCTGCCCTCATAAGCATTTTTCTGTTACCGATACAATGTTGACAAAGCTATGGAAAAATGTTCAAATACTGTTTGTTTTTAAGACGTAATAAAATTGTGCAACTGTTAAAGAAAACCCATGATCAACAGTTTGGCAACACTTTCCACTACTGGCAGCAATGCAGTTTGGGTGATCCCTGTACTAGTTTTATCAGGCTTGGGGAAATGTCCTGAGCTGACTGAGATAAAATTTAGAGACCCTTTTCTCTTTGACATGTTCTTCCTGTGAATGGCATCAGCCAAACTCAGAGAAGCAGAGTTCTCTTTATATCCAATTTTGGGAATGTTGCCATTCTATGGTACTTTAAAAATACCAGCCTTTGGCAAATTTGTGCAGTTCACAAGGTATATATATCTGAAGGAGCACTCCAAAATAGGAATAATTAAAGTATTACAAAGTAGATTTTCAGCTCATCTATCTATCATCTATCTATCTATCTATCTATCTATCTATCTATCTATCTATCTATCTATCTATCTATCTATCTATCTATCTATCTATCTATCTATCTATCTATCTATCTATCTATCTTTCCTAGCTATCTATCTATCTATCGTGTACATCTTCAGAATGTTTCTTTACAAAAAGTTCAATAATACCAAATTTCAGTTGTAGATAACACTGAATATTTCTTGAAGTACAGTGGTGCCCCGTATAGCGAGGTTAATCCGTTCCGGATTAACCTTCGCTATGCGAAAACATCGCTGTACGGGCAAGGAAAGCCTATTGGAACGCATTAAACTTACCCCTCCAGCGATGTTTTCGCATCCGGCGGCCATTTTGGAGCCGCCGATCAGCTGATCGGCGGCTCCCAAATGGCCGCTGGGTGACCCCACATCGCTGGAGGGGTAAGTTTCATGGCCCCCTATCAGTGTTTTCGCGCCCTCCCCTTGCTTACGGAGGTCGCGAAAACGCTGCGGGGGGGCATTTCGGGCCATCCGCCGGACGCCCCAATCGTCGCAAAGCGAGTGCGGCGATTGGGGCAGATCCGTATAGCGATCCCCAAAAAGGGATCGCTATACGGATTCTTCGTTAAACGGTGCGCTCGTTAAGCGAGGCACCACTGTATAGCTGATGTTTATTGAGCTATATTCGCTGGAAAACGCATGAGGTGGCCTATTCTTCAGTTATGAGTTTTTTCAGTGAAAAAAGGGATGTAATTATCATATAACCCATATTTTAAGTACTTGATAGATCAACAGAGATGTGCACGTACTTGAAGTTTACCAGTAAAACACATAGAGATAAGAAGGACCAATATAATTTGTATTCATGATGTGAAGTACAGTAAAAGGTGAACAAGTTACTGGTTTGTTTTTGGGATGTAGCTTTTTTTCATATAGAGAAGCAATATTCAAATATAGTTCAGCGACTGAAGTGTGAACCTTGCCTATAAGTTACATTCAAATGATATTTAACATAGAGTTATTGCTAAATAACATGTTACGTTTCTTTCTTCAAGAACCTCACGTATGAAATCATTTTGACATTGGGGCAAGCATTTGAAGTAGCCTACCAGTTGGCCCTTCAGGCTCAAAAATCAAAACATCCAGGTGCTTTGACTGCTGAAACAACAGAAACAAAATCTTCAAAACCGGTGCCTAAACCTCGAGCCAGCATGAGGAAATCAGCAGTACGTATGTTTTTTTGAAATCCTTTGATCTCTACTTTAAGAATTATGCCAGTGTTTAACATGATGCCTTTGCTCAGCTGACAGGAAAATACACTTTTAGCAAATAATAGTTGTTTTTCCTTTCTGAACAATATAAATTCTTGTCATTTCTACTAACTCTGTAGAGCAATTTCAAACAACTATAAAGCTAGAATGAGGTATTGTGCATTATTATAGACTTGAAACTACAGTGGTGCCTTGACTTATGAATTTAATCCGTTCCAGAAGATGGGCATAACTCGAAATGGCCGTATTCCAGCCGAAGAAAAAAAATCTCCAAAAAAAAAACAAAAACCCAAACCCAAAATACTGCAGGACCGATCGGAAACACAATCCCTTCCAGCTGATTGGGGGGAGGGGTAGAAAAGCAAGTAGAGCATGCAAGACACATCAGAAATGAGGAAAAAGCAAAGCAAAAAGCAAGCAAAGGATGCAAGACACATTGGAAATGGGGAAAAAGCAAAGCACAAAGCAAGCAGAGCATGCAAAACACATCGGAAATTAGGGAAAAGCAAAGCAAAAACCAAGCAAAGCATGCAAGACACATTGGAGCACAAAGCAAGCGAAACATGCAAGATACATCAGAAATGGGGGAAAAGCAGAGCATCAGAAAACAAGCAAACCCCCCAAGACCCATTGGAAATGGGGGGGACTCAAAAAAACAAGCAGACCCCCCAAGACCCATTGAAAATGGGGGAACCCCCCCAAAAAAAGAACCCCCAAGACCCATCACAGCACAGAAACATACCCCCCCCAGCCCAAAACCACGCTGCAAAACCCACGCAGAAAAGTTTTTTAAAAGCAGAAAGCAGCACCATACCTTACCAGGCAGTCTGAAGCCTCTTCCTATTGCACACTCTCTAACTGCTGGGGCGAAAGAGCTATAAAGAAGCAGCCCCTTCGCCTACCAGAAGTTAGCAATTTGAATTTCCCGCCTTTCCCCCCCTGCCTTTTTCTTGTTGTAACTCAAAGCTCCAGCAGCAAATTGAAGCAAAATTTTGCGGCCAGAGCTGGTCATAACTCGAAATGGTCGTAAGTCGGGATGTTCATAAGTCGAGGCACCACTGTATGTTAATACAGTTCTTGGTTTGTTTGTTTTTTTAAGACACTAAAAATATTCATCCATGGAGTTTTGGAATATTAACCCATAATTTTTGAGTTAGAATATTGCTGACAGTGGACAGAATCTTATAACTAACAGCCATCAACAAAAGTCAAACAGCATAAATTGCTTTGGCAAATTGTCACTAGTTGGAAAGTTGACATCTGCATTTTAGTAAATGGCTAAGTCACATGACTGGTATGCAGTTAAAAAATGAAAGCCTTGGCTTCTTAACCAGTGGGAATTAGCTGCAGTGATTTATACCAGTGGCGACAAATAACAAGGTTCTGGCCATTGCCTGCAGTTGCTTCAGGTCACAGATTCTTTTTTTGTGTGGCTTTTGCATAGGTTAGCCATAGGTTGTTACTGACTTGGTAATACTCATAGTTTGAGCATTCAGAAAGGAGATAGCTTGCATTTTCTTACTTCTAGATCTGTTTTAGTATTGTGTTACCTAAAATTTTTAACATGTTATTAATTTAATATTTGAAATTTTCATATTTTTTTAGCTTTAATATTATGTAAACCTCCTTGGGTCCTTTCTTAGGGGAAAGGCAGGGCAAAAATATTTTAATTAAATAAATACTTCCCTCAGAAAAGATCTATCTACCAACCATGGGAAAACTCTTTCACATTATGCTCTGATGAGATGAATTCGTATGACCAGTTTTAAACAGTAATAAAGGAATGTGTGCAAAATGTCTCATTTTATGTTTCACTTAGTGATGCTGTGCACCTGCATGGAAGAATTTGCCTAAGATCCATATTCACACGGATCTTTGTGCCAAGATCAAAAGCTGTTAAGTTAAGCATCAAGGAGTTTTGTTGCACCTCAAACACTAACAAGTTTTATTTGGCACAGGCCTTCACTGTCTGTTACCCACATCTTCAGATGCATGGATTACAGTTCATGGAAATTTATACCAAATAAAAGCTGTTACATCTTTAAGGTGCCACAAGACTGCTTTGTGCTGCAATAGACTAACATAGCTATGTCACTGAAAATTTCTGTGTTAAACGTGTTTCTTGATTAAGAACTCTGCATGGAATTGCTAAGTTGCAAATAAAATGGGAACCCATGAAGACACTGGACAGTACTTCTGCTATCTTAAATCTGGTATTTTTCCCTCCACACTTGCTGTTCTTCAGGTAGATTGTAGGCTGTATCTTTTTTCCTCTAAAGTTACTGCTTTTTGTTGCAAGAACTGTTTTGCCTTCTGTGCTGGCACCAGTGATAGGGTAATCACTGGATCATGATCTGCTGGTGTCTAATGCCAGTCTTGGTCAGTTGAGAATGATTGTCTGCTACTGCCTTATGTGCATGTGTTCAAAATCCTTATCCAATGCTTCCTCTATCAGACTGACAGGAACTCATCAACACCAATGTATTAATTGGCAGTTATTTTCTGTTCTTTAGCAGTTTAAATTACAAGAGTCCTTGTTGTTTAATGAGGAAATAAAGCTACCGGTGTGCTGGCCCACATATTTTCTGTACATGTTGCTGTCCTGTAATGTTACCTCTTGTCTGTGTTTTGCTTGCTCCCATTCCTCAGGTGCCGCTCCCTCCTGATAGTCGCTGTTGTTACTGTCACTCCTGTACTACACACCGTCCCTCCTATCTGCCGCTGCAATCTGTTAGTCAAGGAGCTAAGGTCTTTACCCTTCTTGCAGTCGCTAGTTCTCTCTACTTATGAATGCTTTCTGTAACCAGGCAAACTTTCCTTCAGGCTCCTGCATTCTTTCCCATGGAACTTTGTTACTGTTTCTGTGTTTCTTTTGTTTGAGCGTCTTAGCAAGTTAACCCTTTCAAGCATACATTAGCCCATTCTGTTTTCCCTTATTTTACACAAGAGGGAGTTAAAATGTTGCTTCAGTACAAAATTTGGTTTTACCTTTTTAAATTCAGTTTAGTAAGAAATCAGTTCTGTTGTCCAGTATTATTGTCAGACCAGAAAAAACTACAACTGTATTGCTTTAAACCCAGCTGATTCTTTATTGATCTTCTTTTACTGAATTTCAGCAAACTGCCTACTAGGTTATATCTAAAGTTCATATTCATTTGGACTTACACAAAATGTATTCTATCTTGAAAGAAGGTGCTTCTGTTTCTAACTGAAAAGCTGTCCCAGGTCTTTATGGAGACATTTTAAATGCCATACCCCTGTGCATGGGCATGCCTTTTACTTAAGGCTTTAAAGGGGCTGGGGGAATAGCAGCCTACACGTTTCCCAAAGTTGTTCCTGTCACAGTTTAACAAAGTGTCTGAAGTTCTGTGTTCACATTTTCAATGTGAGCAGCTCTCCTGACCTGTTCTTTTCTCAATATTTTGTAGCTGGAGCCATCTGAAGTGGACCAAGACTCACAGTCTCATGCTAGTGTGTCTTGGGTTGTTGAGCCCAAGCAGGATTCCAAGAGGACCGTCAGCACTAAGTATGAGACTACTATCTTCTGAAAACAAATCCTGCATCCATCCAGTCTAACTGTGCCTTTGCAGTCTGATCTGTCTGCTCTTCTAAACCCTTCCTTCCGCTCATTGCTGGGACTAGGTGTGGCACCATCAGAGGCAGCAACACTAGGATACCATAGACTAAACAGCTTTTTGTATCTGATTTGATTTCTACTGAACACTGTGAATTGAATTCTCCTAATGGAAACAAGGGTTAACTCACTGAAAGTGCCACCTGTTTTAGATGTCTGAGAGGTGGGAGAACAAAGCCTATGGGAGTGGAATATATGGATTTGGGAAACCACCTGATATTTCTTGACTTTCATTTTGACACTGTGAATTTGTGGGGTGAAACAACACTCTGTAGGCCTTTTCTATTTAGCATCTTGGACTGTTCTACAACTATGATCTCATATGTATATGCTGTCACAACCTAGATTTATACCTCCACACTGAGCTATGGCCACAAACTGTTCCAACAACGATCACTCTTTTACGTATAATCTCAGAAGACACTAATCACTGTGATACTGCTTGCAAATCTCTTACCATATTTCCTTGCATGGATACTGCTCACAATTTTTGCTCCCCCTTGACACCTTGAATGCATGGTATAATATAAAAGTCTGCTAGGCAATGTGACCACTCCTATTACATTTCCTTTTTTTCCCACTAGGAGTCAGGTTTGGTATATAGAAGAGACTGCCCAACAGATAATTTCAGCTACCCATTATGCAATTGTTTTCATCTCCACTAGGCCTTTTTATTCAGGGTAATCATTCAGCTAACAAATATCATTCTGAATCATATTTCTCTGGATTGCATTTAAATGGAACCTTTCAAAGGCACATGTCCTCTTTGTGGGCAGAGACTGACAGTGAGGACTGTTTTAGATAAATACAGAAATAGAGGGGTGGACTAGGTTTGCTGTATTTCACAATTTTTCTTCAAAGGCAGAACATGTTCTACATTCTATGCAGAACAGTGTTCCTCTATAATCTGTTACCTGTGACACACTCAGTTATCCATGTATCTGGCAGTCATCAATCTCCAAGCCGGCCAACAGTCTGTGCTACTTGACTTACCATATCCTTAAAGGCATACTTTACTCAGCTCCTTAAAACGGAGATTGTAAGGGAATGGCAAATTTTGATTTGATCGTCTTCAGATACTAATATTAAGCCCAATCTGTTAAATGTGATATTTTTGTCCACACTGGAAACAGAAATTATCTTACTGGACAAAAATCTGAAACAACATTTTGTCCTTACAGGTGAAATCTGTTCCTTGGCAGAATAGGTTGCAATTAGGTACAGCTACAGCAATTAAATGCCTTTGCTTGTCTAGACCAGTGGTTCTTAACCTTTGTTACTCGGATGTTTTTGAACTGCAACTCCCAGAAACCCCAGCCAGCACAGTTGGTGGTGAAGGCTTCTGGGAGTTGCAGTCCAAAACTCCTGAGTAACCCAAGGTTAAGAACCAGTGGTCTAGACTACAATAGATGGCATGTTTACATGTGGAGTTTGCTCAGTGACAACAGAAATGTAATAATGTATTGTAAATTAGATTCTCTTTAGTTTTGGGCTCTGAAGCTTTCTGTAATACAGATTTCTACATTTAATGCAGACTTGTAGCTACTTGTGCTTCTTTCTTGAAATCTCATTCAAGACAACACAGTAGACTTTTCCAAAACAATCAAAGAGATCATTTGAAATGTTACATTATTTTGTTCTCAAGTTTGATGGCCACACTTCTAAAAGAAATTCAAAAAGTAAATCATTTGTTCTTGTATCTAAATAGTTTAAATTGGACATATGAGCTTCATATTTGTATCCTGGGGGGATATGAAAACTAAGCATGGAGGTCTGTTCCCTCCCACCAGAACCAGCCTGGTCCCCACTCACTGGGCTTTACATGTCCGTCATTGGTAACATCGCACCAGTCGCAGAATAGCCAGCCGGCACTTCCCTGCCTCCCTATGCTGCTGGCCACAACAGCAAGGAGGCGGGATGACAAGTCTTCCCACTCAATGTATTCGCGAAGGCTTTCACAGCTGGGATCTAATGGTTGTTGTGGGTTTTTTGGACTCTTTGGCCATGTTCTGAAGGTTGTTCTTCCTGATGTTTCGCCAGTCTCTGTGGCCGGCATCTTCAGAGGACTGCACTCTGTGCTCTGCTGTCCTCTGAAGATGCCAGCCACAGAGACTGGCAAAACGTTAGGTAGAACAACCTTCAGAAAACGGCCAAAGAGCCCGAAAAACCTACAACAACCATCTTCCCACTCAGTTGCTAAGTGGTCAGCAACACAGGGAAGTGGGGAAGCACTGGCCAAGCTACTTGCGTGATTGGCGTGATGTTACTGACAATGGCATCATGTGTGTCACGAAGCCCAGTGAATTGACCAGCCGGTTCTAGGAGGACTGAAAGGGCCCAGCCATCTGTGATGGCAATGCTCATATCCATCTCCCTTGGGAGACAAATACAAATACAGTGGTGCCTCGCATAGCGACGTTAATTCGTTCCGCAAAAATCGCTGCAGAACGAAAATGTCGCTATGCGATGTATCCCATCTCTAGTTTAAATGTTCTCCTGATTATAACATTTGTAGGAATTACTGGTTCTTTTAAAAACTAAGTAATGTAGTACATGTGCCTTTTAATGGTGAGCTGTCCAGGAAGAATCAAAACATTCTGTTATTAATAGCAGGCTTTTACCACACAACAAATACAAGGCCATGATTCTTAACTTTTCCATCACTGTAATTGTACACTTCCATCAGTTGTTTTATATGAATGAAATCACTCATTCCCTATTTTTCTTTCCATTAATATTGTCCCCATTCTTTTGCCTTCTGCCAAGCTGAACTGCAGACACCCACGTTCAACCAATGGAAATGTAGTAAAGGGTCAAATCACTAAGAAGCAGTGAAACCCTGGCGGTATGAAGATCAACACCCGTCTCTGGGATGTGTCCTTGGCTGCTCATTAAGGACTTCCAGAGTTGAGTGAAAAGGGATTCCAACCACAAGCTGACTAAAAAGCAGCATATGTTTCTAGCAGGAGAATTGAAACATCTGAGGTTAACAGACTTGTGCCATGTGTTCTATATTTAAATGCAGTGATCTTGTGAAATCTATACCTTTCAGCACAGTATTGGTGGACGTGGAGAATCCTAACTGCTAAAAGGAAACATGAAAATGCCTGTCTTGCAACATAGGTTAAGAAGATACCAGAATATTCAACAATATATTTTTACTTTGGCTTGGATGAGGAGTAGACAAATTCCTAAGTTGCTGCAATATTAAACTTTTGAAGGTACAGGCCATCTAGACTGATAATTACAATCTTCAGACCTGCATAAACATTTACAAGAGAAATGGGGCATTGTGATTAAAATTACTAATAGTTTTTTTGTGTGACAATTACTGAACAAAGCCTGCTATGTTCCTGTTTTAAGTGCAGATAAATGTTATAATTGCAGTATTTCTTTTCTATTAAAAGTTACCACCTTCTGATTGTAAATACAGATAACTGTACTGTAGCTCCTTGTATCTCACTCCTGTACCATATTTTTTAAAAACTGTGTTGTGCCCTGATGGTTTTAGGTTTTTAAGAAGTTTATTCACTGATTAGCACTTTTATACTAATTCATAATCGAAATATGCTTAGTATAACAAGTTCAAAGTATCAGATGTGGAGAGATTTTGGGGCATTATGCTACAGCTGTTGGTTTCTTATTCTACTCCACTCAAAAATGACTGCTTCAGGTGAAAGCTATGCTTATAATTATGCTTAATATAAATGATCACAGTCCCAAACACTGGTTTTGTCTATGGCTGTGATTAATGCAACCTTTTATACTCTATCAGAGGACAGATGAGGAAGTGCAAATAATGTGGCAGACTTTTGGTACCCAGCTACTGTGTTAATGGCTTGTTTCAGTTTTCGTTACTGCTGTTATCTTTAAGATGTAATTTAGTCTTATTCCGGTTGATTAAAAGATAGTATAAGAATCAAATTACTCTCCCTGAGGCCTGGATTTGAAAACAATTGGATGAATTATGGAAGTGGAACATACCTTCATATACACATGTGATTGATATGCTTATATTCATATAAATATTACTATCCTGTAATTGTCCTATAAATGCAAATTAAACACTTTGTTAATGAAAGAGGGAATAATCTTAGAATACGGGGGCAAAGGTAGATGGTAAAATCTTTAATAGGTTTCTTCCAGTGATCAGGTGCTTCCATTCTGAGTTTACATGGACTTAGCAATATCTGCCATCTCCTGGCAATAAAAGCCATTCAGGACTTGATCTTTCCTAGGAATTTCACTTATTTCCAGGCTCTAATCAGTTTGGATGCTTCTGCAGTATTTGGAGTTTCTGCCTCTTTGTGGAGTTTGTATAATGAGAAATGTGCCGTAAATTCCTGGCACTGAATATGTTTTAGATCTTGATTTTAAAATCTTGTTTGTTTCCTAGTACCAGCCTATACAGAAATGGTATCATATATTTGAGCTGCTTGTTCCAGTGCTCCATATATTCTCCTTTTCAAAAACAAATCTTGCCATTAGCAAACTTACACTTGTCTTGTTGTGCTCTAGAATAACACTCTAAATCAGTGGTTGCCAATCCAGGTTACCCAGGTGTTCTTGGACCACAATTCCCAAAAGTCTTCACTACTAGCTGTGCTGGCCAGGCCTCCTGGGAGTTGCAGTGCAAGAACACCTGGGTCACCTAAGGTTGAGAACCACTGTTCTAGATGCTAAGGAGTAGCTGCTTATTTCAAGTTCATATTATCTCTTTCTTCTGTATGGGTTATATATTATTTTGACTCATACAAATTAACCTCTAGATATCCTTAGCTTGAGAGGAAATTCTTATTTGAATTTAAGGTACATGACAATTGTACCCTGCCCCCTCCAGGAGACAGATTTTAGAGTAGACGCAGGTGGTAAGCTGTGCTGTTCCTGCAGACCAGATATCTAATGGTACCTCACTTTTGAAAGAAACTTCACATGTGAAATTAAAATGGGTTGAATTATATTTCACTCACTCATTGTCTCCTTTTGCATGATCAGTATGAATGTTGTATCAAGATTTTCTGCCATGCTTACACCTCAAGAGGGCAAGTAGATTCTTGGCAACAGGCAGTTTGGTTTACAGTGTAGACATTTTTAAAATAATTGTGATGTATGGCAGTGGGACTGATTTGTAATAAAAATGTTATTTAATCTGTCTTTGTATTTTGATACTTGAATGATTCCTTTTTATTTCCTGTATATAAAAACTGTTAATCTTTTTTTGTGGTACCAAACATAACCAATCTGTGCAACAACATAGACTGACCTCACTACAACAAGGCGAGATTGTAAATATTCCTGGGCTTCCAGCAGTCGTTTTGTTGTTTGTTTGTTTTTCATAATTGTATGACTTAGAACAGACTAAATTAATAAAATTAGATATCTCTGTATGAGTTTCTTTGGTATGAGTCATGGTTGTTAATACATTCCTTTGAAATCAGTTAAGACTTCTTCCAGGAACCAAGTCTTACCTTCCTCAGAATATGCATCAGCTGGTCTAAATGACAAAAACAACATTTTGAGCTGTTTAAAGGTTTACTGCAGCAAACGTGGCATTGTCAGTTGGTGTTTGTGTAACTGTGCACTTCATCTTCAATAGTCCAGCTGCACAAGTGTGCTAGATCCCATATCACAGTGCAGGACAGCTGTTCTGTTGGTCACACTGGACTTTGAACTGCCATACAGTTTGAGCAATTGCCAGGTGTCATCTCCCCTCTCCCTGCCGTCATGTGCTCTGCTCATCTGAGATAGTTAACAGGAAACAGTACCTGGATTAGCCATTCCCTGAGGAAGCAGCAGTTTCTTCAATATCCCTGAGTAGTAGGGACCAAACACCTGTCTGTTGTGATTAATCAAATTACCAAACCTCTGGCCAACATCCAGTAGTTCTTCCTGAATAGGAGCAAGTCCATGGGGTAGATTCTTAGAGATCTTGCCACCAGGAGCCAAACAATGCCTCAGGAAAGTTTGGATCCGCTGCTCTGTAGGAAACAAATAGATTTGGAAACAGACCTGATTGCTGTAGTTATCTTCCCATTTGCCCACCCCTCAGTAGGCTGAACACTGCAAAGGCTGGTAGAATAATGAAGATGAATGGCAAGGACTACAACCATTTCTTAGACTAAGTGGGTAGTGAAGTGAAACTATGAAAGATGTTAGCAAAACGATTTAAAAATATGGTTTGTGACCACTGTCTTAAGCTGATCACAACAGGATTCACAACTTGAAAGCACGTAGCAAGCGTTTCACCAGCCATATAACTCTCAAACAGAATAAGTAATTAACATTGTCTAAACAATGCCCTATACCCTGTTGACATTTTTGTTATCACTGATTATGGAAATGTAAGAACTCATTTAATCTTTAAACTTATATACTTCCCAATAATGCGAAATATATAATCTGGGTGGCTAACAACCAACACATATAAACTACAGATAATACAGTACCAATTATAAACACTGAAAAAAAATTAAAGGACAGGTTACCTACCATAACTAGTTCTTTGAGTGGTCATCTATGAATTCACACATTGAGTTCCTTCACAATGGGTTACACTGTGCACTTTGGAACCTCTTAGGACCTTCCAAAACTTAGAAAAAATATTTGGATATGCCCTCATACTGCCACACATGCTCCCACCAGTGTGCCAGCCAGTTCCCTCAGTCTGCTAAAAATCTGAAAGAACCATGACAGACTGAGGGGAGGTAGAGCAGATTGTGTGAATTCACAGATGACACTAAAGAACTATAGTTACATTAAGTAACCTGTCCTTCACTGTGATCTCTCTGAACTCACACACTGTGTGACTGCCAAGCTCACACGTCAGTGGGATGTCACACAATTATTGATTAAATAACCATTCTACTGAAAGAGGCATTTTTCTTGGGCCAGATATCCAGTCTGTAATGTCTGATAAAAGTGGAAGGTTGCAGCTGTGTGGCTGCTTTAAAAATGTCTGGGATACGTACACCTTAGAGAAATTAATGCCATGGCTTGTGTTGAATGCACCCCAGGTGTGGTTGGGGGTGGTTTATTAGCCAGCTGATAGCAAAGGAAAATAGTATTGACCACCCATTTTGATCATCTTTGCAGTGAGGTATATTGTCCCTTCTGTTACCTCTTATAGCAAATAAAAAGGTCTATTTGAGTGTCTGAAACTTCATTCTAGAGATATAGAAGGCCAGGACTTTATGTACATTAAGTATGTGGAGAGATTTTTCTACACTGGACACTGGGGATGAAAAAAATGTTGGAAGGACCAACAGTTGGTTTAAATGAAAGTCAGATATCACTTTGGAAAGAAGAGATCCATATAAAAAGAGCTACTTTATCTCTAGAAAATTGGAGGAAGGCTGGACCACAATGTAAGGCACTCAACTGGCTTGCTTTTTGAGCAGATATCTGCCACCAAAAAAAGTCTTTTAAGAAAGAAGGCAACAATCTGCTGTGCTAAAGGCTCAAATTGTGGTTTCGTTAGCTGGGAAAGGGTGACAAATAAGGATCACTGAGAGGGTCAGGGGTCATATATTAGGATGTGCATCATTAAGGCATTTCAGGAACTTAACAGGTCAGTAAAGACACCTGCAGCTGTAGAGCCAAAGGGTTGGCAAGCTAATGGCAGCTAGATAAACATGCATAGAAGATTGAACGGACAAGGTACCAAACCTTGCCATTCAATATTCTGGTCAAGAGTGGATGTGTTGTCTAGAGCCATGCTTGCATTCTGACAGTTTCAGTGTTGACGGTTTCAGTGCTGAGGGCTTTAAGCATCTGGTTGGGGAACTCTCGCTGCTGGTTGTTTGCCATGTTTAGACTTAGTACCTTAAGTGTCTCAAGATGGAAAAAAGGAATCAGATTTCAGAATGGAATGGTGCTTTGAGGTTTCTGGATGCTTTGGGGACCAAGAAACCATGTGTCAAGTCAGTGAAGGAGACCTGATACAGACGAAGCATTCAATGTTGACAGGATGAGGAGAATGCCATAAGCACTGAGCTGAAGTATGTAAAATTGGATGGATCATGTCTGAAATTTGTGGATTCATTGCATGATGGTGAAGTCTGTGAAATGAGGCAAACTGCTCCTAGAAAGGTGATGGGCATGGCTACTCCGACCTGGATAATAATAGTAGTAATGACACAGCTCAGTTACATGTGGAGAAACAGTCTTACTTTTAGCTCCAGCAAGTGAGAAGATGCTTGAGACCTTTCTCAGGGTTGAGGGGGTTCTGGGTTGGCCATGACTGGAACAGGCACAGGAAGAAGCTTCTCAAGAGCTCTTTTTGGCAGAAAGCCCCACTCTGGGGAATGGCCATGTAGGGAGGCCTGTTAACAGTCCTCAAACATGTCAGATTCTGAAGCTGAATCTAGGTAAGCCATGACATCTTTCTGAATGTAAATCACCCGGTGCAGAGTTTTTTTAGAGGAGATTGTAGCCTTGGATTTTTAGCCTTGGACTTAGCTGAAGTTCAGAGTTCTGAGGATCAGAGGGTTTCTGCTTCCCTTTCTTAGACAGTTTGGAAGTTTTCGATGTCAACTCTTTCAATGTTGAGGGAGACGTTGGGTGTTGTGGTGAATTTAAAACTTCCAAAGCTAAAGGTGATTGGATGGAGTGAGCCATAGGCCCCAGCATATGTTGAGCAGTATCGGCAGAAGCCAGCTGGTCTGCCAATACGTATATATATTCTGGAGGTGCATCAGAACAAAGAAGCTCCATTGTCTGAATCTTTATTTTGGCAGCACCTATTTTTGAGGCTGCCGGAGGAGAAGTAACCACAATAGAGTCAATTGCCTGGAGAAATTTCTCCCAGAGGTAGGAGAGAAGGCAGGACTGGTGATTCTTAAGCGCCGTTATTGAAAATTTATTACAAACTTGGCATTGCTGGTTTTGGTGTCTTTCCCCCAGGGAGTACAAACACTTAGCTTGTCCATCAGACACTGGGATTTTATTCTTACATTTGACACACCTTTTGAAGGAACCTGAAGCAGCCATAAACAGGTTGAATAAAAGGAAGAACTGAGGAAAAGTAAACATTTTTTTTAAAAAAATACAGGAATAAAGAATTAAGACACTTAGTAAATATTAACTTTGAGGAGGAAAAAACAGCAGCAGACAATGAGGCAGAAAATTTGAAAGGCTCTGAATGGGAAGCTGAGATGCTCACTTTTCAGTGAAGGAACAGGAACCGAGATGAACAAAACAAATCTTGTGTTTTTTATTTTGGCCCCTACTCTGGAATAAAATGCTGACAGTTATGCCAGGCTCCTTCTCTCCTTATGTTTAGAAAGACAGTAAAGACTGAATTATTTAACGCTGCCTTTAGTAATTGACTGCAGGATGCTGTCCATACCAATTTTTTCTTTATTTTAATTTTAAATTTTTATACTTATTCATATTTATAGTTATAATTATTGTCAGTTGTATCACCATATTGTTTCTGAATGTATTTTTAAGTTTTAATCTTCTGAAGACCACCCAGTGTAGTGTTTGTGTAATGGGGCAGTATATAAATCAAATAAATAAAATAAATAGAAATATTTTGAGATTTTTTGGGGGGAATATTTTGATAGTTCTAAAGTTTTCTTATAAATTAGAATGCTCTCCTATAAATATTATTTGCCTCCCTAAATCCAAGCATATATGGAAATACACGTATAAAATGCAAGCACAAAATAGGGTTTTAAATATTGTTCATGATCAACAGGATAGAATTAAAATCAATGCTCATACAGCCTATCCTACACATATCCAAGAATATGTGATATTAAATATATTATCACAATTATAACTCACCAATTAGAATCCGCACTGCATTATCCTTATCTACAAGGCTCTTTAATTGGCCTTTAAGCACAGCAGAATTGTCAGCTGTAAGAGCAGGATACCCCAACTGATGGAGTATTCTATTTATTTCCTGATGTATTTGATTGCTGATGTCCAGTAAAGCATCTTCTAACCTAAAGCATGAATAAATGGCAGACAGTCACTGTGTGTGCTCCTTGAGACTAAACATGGAGGCTCTCATGATAGCAAAAAGGAGTCAGTTTACTGTATTTTCATAGAATCCATGTAAAATATCTGTTGTCAGGAGTAAAAGTGGGAAATAACTAGCCTATAACATTATTTACAAATTATACCTCTTCCCACAGTTTTAACTCTTTCACTCCATATTGTACTCCTGGTCATCCTGTTCTCTATGCCCTTTGCATAATTAAAAGACATGATTTTGATGCTAAACCAATTAAAGCATGACTGTCAGTCCATTTAGTGTAGCTCACATCCTCATTTTAAAACTTGGAAAGGACGTGAGCTACACTAAATGGACTGACATCAAAGTTAGTTCAGCCTAACCTGCTATTTATCTCTCCTGACCAGACTATCCTACTAGAGCCCTGCTGCCTTCAACTCAAGATTGTACCCTACATAAGGGTGGAGGGAAACCTACTACTACTTTTAAACATTTTTCTTCATATATTTATTCATGACATCTTAAGGGAACCACTACTTCAGGAAATTTCCAAAGTTTAATATATACATAAAAATAATCATGGTGCCTGAACCTTTTCAGTATTTGTAAACTCACTGTTGTTAGCTTTAATATTGTACAGTGGTGCCTCGCAAGACAATGTTAATTCATTCCGCGAAAATCACTGTTTTGCGAAAACATCGTCTTGCAAAATGCGGTTCCCTAATGGAATGCATTGAAATCTATTTAATGCGTTCCAATGGGGAAAAATCGTTGTCGTTTTGCAAAAATTGCCCATAGGAAAACCGTTTTGCAAAGCACGGATCAGCTGTCAAAATCGCTGTCTTGCGAAAATCGGTCCCGAAAACACCCATTTTGTGAAGCACAGACCTACCTGTCGAAATAGTCGTTTTGCGAAAACGGTCCCGGGAAAAAAAACGTCTTGCGAAGCACGGACCGAAACATCATCCAGCAAAAATCGCCCATAGGGAAAACCATTTTGCAAAGCGCTATAGCGATCGCAAAAACTCATCGTCTTGCGAATAAACCATTTTGCAAGGAAATCGTCTAGCGAGGCACCACTGTATTTTAATGATATAAGCCACCCTGGGTCCTTTTAAGGAGAAAGGTGGGGTATGCATGTATGCATAAACAAACAAACAAAACAAACAGCCTTCTACAAGTAAAAAAAACAAGCTGAAAACCAAAGCATTCCAACAAATACTAAGACAACGGAGATTAAAACAAACCATTCAATTACTCCACGAAATCCTTTCTTAACAAAAGGCCAGAGCAAAATATGCCTTCAGAGCTGTTCTAAATGGCTTGTTGGTTGTTCTGTTTTGCAGATTGCCATTTATGTAAACTTCGTCCAGCTGGACACCTTTTTGAATGTCTTTCTCTCAGTGCTTAGGGAGATGCCACTTCCTAGTGTTTACAAGCCTGTCAGAAGTATACTGAGCATGGATCTGGGACAGACTTTTAAGGGCATGTCAGGGTGAGTGAAAATAGTCCTTCAAGTAGCTTGGTCCTAAACAGTTTCTTCATAAATGAAAATTAAAATCTGCACTTCAGATTGGGTCTTTATGGGATTGCACTCCCCTGAAGGGCAGGGAATTCTCCTGGTTTCTGCGCTAACAAGAAAGTACAGGATGGACTGTTCTAACATGCTGTACATGGGGCTGCCTCTGAATGTGGTTCATAAACATTGACAGATATAGAATGCAGCCCTTCTAAGTACTAGCAGAGGCACAATACCAGCTCGATAAGCCTAAAACTCATGTCATTCACATCTATCTGTTGTCAGGATGTTAATATAATTCAACACTATGAATGTTCACTACCAATGTTAATCGTGCCATTGTTATATTGGAGGCTCATTACCAGGTATTACTATGCAAATGTCAATTTTTATTTCCCATTCTACTTGGACCCACTCCATCCCTATACCACATAAACTATACATAAATCTGTGGCCCAAACACTGTATTTCTATGTCTGAAGAGGAGCATGGTAATCCATTAAAGCTTATACTGAAATACATCTGTTAATTTTAAAGGTGCCATACTTTTCTTGGTTTTGATACAGATGTTTCTAATACAGATACAGATACATTCAGATACATAAAGTTACACAAGTATTCATGTGCAAGACGTTACAATAATTAAGTTGTATTGAAACTAAATACAATTGCTGCGTTGTGGAAGAAGCAATGGGAATAAAAGCGGTGCATGGAGTGAGATATAATAATAATAAAATGCTTATTTGTTAACCCTAGAATGGGCGGCCTTCAATACTGAGCATGGATCTGGGACAGACTTTTAAGGGCATGTCAGGGTGAGTGAAAATAGTCCTTCACGTAGCTTGGTCCTAAACAGTTTCTTCATAGATGAAAATTAAAATTTGCACTTCAGATTGCATCTTTATGGGATTGCACTCCTCTGAAGGGCAGGAAATTCTCCTGGTTTCTGCGCTAACGAAAAAGTACAGGCTGGGACTGTTCTAACATGCTGTACATGGGGCTGCCTCTGAATGTGGTTCATAAACATTGACAGATATAGAATGCAGCCCTTCTAAGTACTAGCAGAGGCACAATACCAGCTCGATAAGCCTAAAACTCATGTCATTCACATCTATCTGTTGTCAGGATGTTAATATAATTCAACACTATGAATGTTCACTACCAATGTTAATCGTGCCATTGTTATATTGGAGGCTCATTACCAGGTATTACTATGCAAATGTCAATTTTTATTTCCCATTCTACTTGGACCCACTCCATCCCTATACCACATAAACTATACATAAATCTGTGGCCCAAACACTGTATTTCTGTGTCTGAAGAGGAGCATGGTAATCCATTAAAGCTTATACTGAAATACATCTGTTAATTTTAAAGGTGCCATACTTTTCTTGTTTGTGTATGTTTGCTTTTCCTGATGCAGAATGACACAGCCACCTCTCCATAAACATTTTGATTAACTTACCTCGTATCAGGAACTCCTACTAGAAGGGCTTTTGTTATCTGTTTCAGCCTATCTCCATATCCTGCTGTGCTGAACACCCTACTTCCACATGTACTGTTGCTCACTAGCAGAACTGCAGCAATAATGGTTAGCTGACTTACTTCTGCCTGAAGGGCATGCAAACGAGCTTTGTCCATCAACACTGTCTGCAAAGAAATAACAGTATATTCTCCTACAATCACACACAGAAATATCTAACATTTAGAACATATCTTATGTGCTAACAAGAAATATAAAGGTATTCTCGTAAGTCTGTAATAGAATCATTGTCTACAGTGGAACTGAGGACATTCTTATTGGGGGTTGTCATCGCACTTGCTTTTACAGGCAAGGGTCTTCAAATAAAGCAAAGCCACTCTTTCTGGCACAGAGAAAAAGGCCTCTTACCTCAGGATAGTCATTTTTTCCAAAATCCCAATGCAACAAATTCATGTATGCCTGGTTTAGCACAGCTGTAGGACTAGGGATAGATGAGACATTTCTGTCAGCCGTGGGGCAAGAGGAAATAGGTGATCCATTGATCTCAGAGGTGGATGAGGTGGACAGCAAATCAAATGATGATACTTCAGCTGCTGCTTTGCGCAGCCAGTCTGTTGTGCAAACTAGGCCCCCTGAGAAGTAAGAAAGAAGTAACAATTACAAAGAATATATATGTCAGTATACAGTAAGTGTGCAAGCAGAGGCAAGAAAGGATGAACGTGTATCTACATACACTGAGTGGGCAAAACATGGCCTCTACGCTGCATGCAGCCCCTAAGCTATTTTTGTGACCTCCTGAATATCCTCCCAAAGTTTCCTTGTATTTTTCTCCTCTTTTCCTCAGGCTGAACAGAAATGTTGCCAACAAATAACAGTGACAAATTAAGAGACAATTGATTCTTGATTAAGATACTTTTGAAATTTTTTTAGAAAAATTAAATATTAAATTCTGTTTGTGTGGAGGAAATCTTTGGTGCTTTCCTTTTAGTAATCCACACCTTTTAGTAATCCACACTTGTTCCTCTACCTTCTCCTCTCATTTGAGTATTCTTCTCCCTTTCCCTTCTTTAAGTTTTGGACAGAAGTATTTTCCGCATAGTACCTTTCCCATATTTCCACTAATTACACTTTACACCAAACCATTTTCAAGCCTGTTTTCTGACTCTAATTCTCCCCTTATTCTGCTCGTGAAAATCGCCTCAGATGAGTTCCACATGGCCAATCAATCAATCAGAAGGTCAACCCCAGAACGTCTTCTGCAAGCAGACAGAGTATGCGGTAGCAGAAGCAGAAAAGAGTGGTTACTTACCTGTAGCCATGGTTCTTCTAGTGGTCCTCTGTTAATCCACACAACTGGGTTGTTCTGCCCCTGTGCCGGACCTCTTGGAAGTTTTCTAGAGCTTAAAGACATGTGATTAGTGGTGCGTTCCCCCATGGAGCACATGCTCTACCCACCAGAAGTCCCCTCAGTTCCAATAAGAGTCCACTGCTGCCAAAGAGCTATATAAAAGGATGGACAGAGGGGAGGTAGGGCGGGATCTGTGGATTCAAAGAGGACCACTAGAAGAACCATGGTTACAGGTAAGTAACCTCTCTTTCTTCTTCGTAGCCTCTGGGAATGCACACAATTGGGTGACTGGCAAGCTCACTTACTGGATGGTGGGATGTCACGGTAGAAAGGAAGTCAAGACAGCTCTGCCGGAAGCAGCATCCTGCTTTGTCCGGACTTCCAAATGGTAATGTGTCACAAACCTTGATGGATTGGACCATGTAGCTGCATGGCAGATGTGAGGAATGTCAAGCCCACGTTGGAAGGCAGTAGAGGTAGACAGTGCTCTAGCAGAATGAGCTTTCAAGGGTTCAGGTGGTGTTTTACCTGCCAACTGATATGTTAAAGAAATTGTCTGTACAATCCATCTGGCTAACGTCTGGGGTAAAGTAGGCGAACCCTTATTAGGGCCATGAAAACAGATAAAAAGATTTGGTGCTTTTCTGAATAATTTGGTTCTGTCAATATAGAAAGCCAAGGAGCATCTGACATTAAGCATGTGGAGCATGCGCTCAATAGGTGTGGAAGGGGATTAAAATAGGGTAGGTAATAACAGTTGATTGAGGTGAAACTCGGAAATAACCTTAGGTAAAAAATATCTGGGTACAGAGTGACCTTGTCCAGATGGAACTGCAAGAAAGGTGGGTCTGATCTGCAAGTTCACTTGCTCGTTTAGCAGATGTAATAGCTACTAAGAATATAGTTTTCAGAGAAAGGGGTTTTAGGTTGGTAGTAGCCAATTGCTCAAAGGGAGGGCCGGTCAGTGCATTGAGTACAAGCTGCAGTGACCATTGAGGAAGAATAGGTTGGCGTGGAGGACATATATTGCAGAGTCTTTTGAGGAATTTCTTCAAAGTTGGGTGGGAAAATAGTCTAGCTGCATTTGAATGAGAAGGTTGGTGGGCTACAATAGCAGAAATATAAACATTCAAGGTGGAATGGGACAGTCCGAGATGAAAAAGATGAAGGATAAAGGTAAGTAAGGTCTTCAAAGAAAAAGGTATTGTAGGTAAGCTGTGAGAATTAGCAAAGGATAGGATTGCTTTCCATTTATTTTGGTAGAGAATTTGGGCTGAGGGTTTTCCAGCTCGATCAATATGTCTCTTACAAGCGGGAGTATCCTCCAGGCTGTCAGTTTCAGGGATTTGAGGTCCAGGTGGTAAATCATTCCTTCGTCCTGTGTGAGAAGGTTGGGGATCAACGGTAGGTGGAGCGAGTCGGTTGACACATGAACTGTCGAAGTTGAATGATGGTTCATTGAATGAGAGGGATTGGCGTGAATAGGTAGAGCAAGCTGCTGTCCCAATTTATCATAAAGGCATCGCCGAGAGAGTTGTTGACTGTACTGGCACAGGAGCAGTAGTGGCGGCATTTGGTGTTGTCTTTGGTGGCAAAAATGTCTACAGAAGGAGTCCCCCATCGGTGGCATAGAAGGGTAAATACTTCATCATGTAATGACCACTCGTGTGTCCTTGTGGTAAGGCGGCTGAGGTGGTCGGAGAGTGAATTGTCTTCTGTAGCAACATGGACTGCTACCAGGAAGATAGGATGAAGACAACACCATTCCCAGAGTTTGACGGTCAGGTACAGGAAAGAGATGGAATGTGTGCCACCCTGTTTGTTCACATTATAAAGAGCTGTGGTATTGTCTGTGGCGAGTTGAACATCCTGTGATGATAGCCAAGAAGGCGTGAAACGCTTTTGTAACTGCTGAAAGCTCGAGATGGTTGATGTGCAATTACTGTTCTCGTTTTCTCCATAGACCATGAATCTTGTGATGTCGACAGTGCGCACCCCAACCAGATGGACTGGCATCCGTAGTAACTTGTACTGTGAGCTGAAGAGGGGTGAAGGGTCTTCCGACGAGGAGATGTGGAAGATATGTCCACCATGTAAGTTGTAGGGCTAACTCTCGCATTACTGTGAGATGTTTGGACGGGTGATCTGTCATGAGATCAAACAGGGATAGGTACCATGACTGAAGCAACCTCATATTGAGTCTGGCGTGCTGAATAACAGCAGTCGTGGAGGCCATGAGCCCAAGGAGGTGTTGGGCTTGATGTGCCGGTACCGAAACATGAGGTTGGAATGGTTGGACCGCCCATTTCAGTTTGAGTATTCTTTGTTGAGGGAGAAAAGCTCTGGCATGTCAGGAGTCGAGATAAACTCCTATATAGGTAGCAGTCTGTGAGGGTTCAAGATAGCACTTGGTGAAGTTCGCTTTGAGACCGAGGTCTTGAAGAGTGCTGAACGTAAGTTGGATAGCTCTAATGGCATCGTGATAGGAATTGGAGGCGATCAGCCAGTCATCTATGTAGGGGAATATGGTGATACCTTGAAGCCGGAGGCAGCGATCGATGCCATGCACTTGGTGAAAGTCCTCGGTGCAGTGGATAGTCCAAATGGGAGAGAACAGAAATGGTATGTGATGCTGTCGAAGTGGAACTGAAGGAACTTGTGGTGATGTGGGTGAATAGAGATGTGAAAATATGTGTCCTAGAGATTGATGACAACAAACCAGTCTCCCTGTGAAAGGAAAGGAATGACAGTGTCAAGTGTCAGCATTCTGAAGCACATGGTTTGAATGAATTTGTTAAGGTTCCTAAGATCGAGAATGGAATGGAGTCCTCCATCCTTTTCAGGTACCATGAAATATTGAGAATAAAAGCCATCATGCAGGGCAGAGGGAGGGATCTGTTTTTGGAGAAGAAGTGAAATTTCTTCTTGGAGGGCTAATGAGTAGGGCATATTTTTAATTTTGCTGAAAGATGGAGTGTTTTTGAATTCGATGAAATAATCATTGCGAATTATAGAAAGGACCCAGTTATCAGTAGTGATTCTATGCCATGCAGTAAGGAAAATCTGTAATCTAGTTTGGAATGAAGTACAGTGGTGCCCCGCATAGCGAGGTTAATCTGTTCCGGATTAACCATCGCTATATGAAAACATCGCTAAACGGGAGGAAAATGCCATTGGCTTCTGTACTCACCGTTAAGCGAAGTTTTCCCCATCCGCCGCCATTTTCGCGCCCTCGGTAAGCGAGGGCAGGGCACAAAAACGCTGCGTGTGGCCATTTTGGGCGTCCAGTGGCCATTTTGAAACTGCCAAACAGCTGATCCGCGGGCGTCGCAATGCGAGTTTTGCCCATTGCGGCGGTTGGGATGCCTTCGCATTAGCGATCCCCAAAAAGGGATTGCTATGCGAATTCATCGTTATACGGTGCGCTCGTTAAGCGAGTCACCACTGTAGAAGTAATGGTAGAGGATGATAAGAATCTAAGGGTATTGATTACCCTTTTTTTGTGGGCATCGAAAGGGCTGTCAATGTGGTTATTGCTGTTGGGGTCAAAAGGTAGACGTAGTCGAGGTGGACGGGCCAGAGAATGGACGGTCTTGCAATTGAGCTCTGTAAGGTCGGTATGGTTCCTGAAAAGAGTGAAAAGGTTGTTGGCCAAATGGTTGTCTATGATATTGGGGACGTTAATATCTGTATGGTTGCTGAGTAGAGTATGAGCGAGCAGTTTTCCGAATCTTGTGAAGATTGCCCATTACTTCATCTGTAATTTTGTTGAAAAGGCCAGCACCACCGAATGGTAGGTCCTCAATCCTCGACCTAGTGTCATCTGATATGCCTGCCAATCTGAGCCAGGCATGATGCCAGAATGTGATAGACGTAGCCATAGCTTTAGAAGTGTGTCTGGAAGCAATTATTTGCTGCTTAGCTAGAATAGAAGCCTCAGCATGAACATTTAAGGCTTCTGTCTTAGAAGCTTCAGGGGCCACTTAGAGGACTGGTACGATTTTGTTCCATAATAGTCTATGGTATGCCCCCATTGAAGCCTGGTAGTTAGTGACACTCAGGCAAAAATGATGTGAGGGAGTAGAGGCATCTGTCCAAGATGTCAAGCTTTCTTCCCTCTTGATTAGTAGGTGCCATGGATGACTTGTTTCATGCTCATGATTGATTGGATTCAACAATGATTTGGCATGGGGTGTTTGGAAAGAAAGCCTGTGTCTGGACCGTGTGTTTTGTAATGGTTTTCAACACATCTCAAGATTTGTAGTGATGAAGGGGGCTTATCCCATGATTCCTTAACTAACTCCAGCATGGCCGGTATAAAGGTCAAGCTAAGTGGTGGTGTTTTGTCTTGGTTTAGGTCATCAAATACTAAGTCTTACTTAGGAGGTGGTGGTTCCTTGATGTCTAGTTGTAAAGATTTTGCCATCCTCATAAGTTGGGAATAAGAAGTGAAATCCTCTGATGGATAGGGTGGGTGATTCTCAGCGACATCTGAGGAAGGGGTAGGGAAGTTAGAAGGTGATTTGAGGAAAGCATCAGATGCTGAATCTTGGATCAATGACAAGGAGTCAGAAGACGAGGATTGACATGGAGGTTTCAATGTCAATGTCTACAATGGAGGAGGAAGTTGCTGTATCGGAGGCAAGTGTGATTCGGGACGCCTGTCAATGTCAGGAGGAGGAGGTCCCTTATAAGTAGTAGTGACTTGAAGAGATTGTGTTGTCAAGGTTGTTTGGTAGCGTGCTTAACACGTTTTGGTTGAGGTTGTTGATGCTCCATTGCAGGAAGCATTTAGGAGCACACTGATTTAGGAGGGATCAGCGTGTGATGAGTTGATGTCGGGTATAAAGAAGAAGAGCGGTGTTGGTGTCGTGATGGTGAAGGTGACAAGGAGGGTGACTATCGAGATGGATAAGCATATCTAACTCTCTTGGGCTCATCATAGTAGATATGCTCAGATAGGTCTTCAGGGTAATAAGGATCATATTGATGGTATAGATCCCTATGTGCCTCCCTGGTTTGGTATTGGGGTGGCTCAGTATAATAATAGAATTCCCCATGCAGAGGGTAATATTGGACCAGTGAGAGGTGTTGTCTCTTCGCTCGATGTTTCTGAGGGGATTGATGAGACGATTCAGAGCCCAAGACCTGAATAGGTATTGCCCACCCTGATAAAGAAGAGCTTGAATGGGCCAAGGCCAAGCTGGAATGAACTTCAGCTAGAGATAGGTCTATACTCGGTGAAAGCCTAGCAATGGAAGCAGAAGCCTGAGCCGGGGGTAAAGTTGGGTCATCTCTGTCTGAAACCGAGCCTGGAGCGTCTCTAGACGACTTCCAATATTGGTGATGGAAGCAATGATTGGGGTGGGTCTACTTGTGCCATTTTTGTAGACTTCTTGGTCTTCTTTGATTTAGTTTTATCTTTTTTCTTTTTTGAAGGGTCATAACGACAGGCTGCAGCCTTCGACGTCGATGTTAAGCTCGACTTCGACTGGTCCTTCAGACGAGGTGAAGGAGTCATTGGGCTGGAAATCTGTGGAGGACTTTTCTGACACTCTGGGCAAGGATTAGGAGATGCCGCAGAGTCCATGGAGGCTGGATTAAGTGATTTCTTCCAAAGGTAAGAACAGAGTCTCTGGAGTCACAGTTAAATAGCAGGTTTAGTGAGCTTTTTGCACTCAGTGCAAGAGTATGTTTGGTGTTGCTCTCCTAGGCAGTCATGACCGTAAGTAAGCGGGATCTTATTCGTGCAGAGCACGCACCGCTTGAAAGGCCAAGGGGGTCATTAAAGGCTGGGAAAAAATGGGGGGAAAGGAGGTAGCAGAGGGAATCGAAAACCGGGGAAGAAAAAAAATGGGTGGAGTTGATTTAAAAAGGAAATGGATAAACTCACAGAGGAAGCATCCAAACAAAAGCAGTGACTGAGAAGAGAAAATAAAGTAATGATCTCAATAATTGTTCAATCGCTCTAGCTCTCTGAAATAGGTCAAACCTAAGCGGTGGCTAAAATTTTATTTATTATTATTTTATTTATTTTATTTATACCCCGTTCATCTGGTCTTGTGACCACTCTAGGCGGCTGTGGAATTGAGGGGGCTTCTGGCGTGCAGAGCATGCACTCCACGGGTGAACATCTCACTAATCACATGTCTTTAAGCTCTAGAAACTTCTGATAGGTCCTGCGCAGGTGTAGAACAGCCCAATTGTGTGCAAGGAGCCTATAAAGCCTTCAAGTCCAAACTCCTAATATCCAGCTATTCAAACATAAACTGTTACATTTTTTTCCAACATTTCCTCCGTGTATATATTTGTTTTAGGAAGTATTATGGAGTTTTTGGTTGCATCACTTTTTAATCTTCCTCAAGAAAAGAGCTCAGGCAGCTTCTTTACTGTCACCCTTGATACTCACCTGGTAGTTTGTTCAGGAGCTCTTGAAATTTTGTCCTCTCATATTGGACTGAGTGCTCCTGGAGATGTGGTCGAAGGGTCCAAATGGTAAAATTCACCATATCCATTTTCATTAAGTCCAGAATATGCAAGATCTCTCTATCATGGGCAATAGTAACAAAGTCAATTGCAGTGAGGTTGTAATCCGATGACCATTTGCCCCATGGTTTATTGTAGGTTGGTGACAGGCTAGATCACTCCTTTTTCTGGTGACCACACAATGTAGAAGCCATTGAAAACCAGTCTGCCCCTGATCATTGCCTACACACACTTTTGGGGTCCTGTAAGGAGCTACTGTTCCTTTGGTGCAGGTAGGATCACTCCATTTTGGTTCAAACTGAACATGTATGATAGTTGGCTGGTTAATGCTTTTGTGAAGCTGCTTAATGATCTTGAGAAACTGAAAGATTCCTTTCCATTCACCTTTAGAGGGCAAGGGAGAAAAAGTTTTGCATCTCCCTTTAAGTGTTGTTAATGTATCAGCAATGTTCTGAAAAGTTTTTAAAGTCCTGTCAAAACATCGCTGATGCACTGTATAATTAAAAAGAAATAATTAAAAAGAAATAGAAAGCTTCATCTTCCCTTCCAAAGGTTAGCAGAAATAGGAACCTGGTGTGCCCTTATTGTTGCTGAAGTGGCAGACCATGGGCTTGTGAAAGGGAACAAAGATGCCATGATGGCTCCCATGTGGAGCAGCCAGGGTCACAGGCAGAATGACTGCAGGGGATTCCTCCCACCTTGACTGTTCATTGGCCAGGAAAGAGGGGAACTTCCCACCCAACTTTGCATTGGCCTGTGGGGAAAAATTCAATTTTAAGCAGAGTAGGTGGACTGAGAAACAGTATTTCTCACTCTGATCTGCCTGCCCAATATAGGAGCATCAAGACCACTCCATCCAGTTTGTGGCTCACTGGTCTAATGCTTCTCTTTTCTCAAGATCGTTAAGCAGCTTCACCAAAGGTATAGTCAGCCAGCAGTTTAACAGTCTTGACAAATCTTTCCCTTTAAAGGAAAAGAAGATATTGATTGTGTTAACAGGATTGCTTGGGGCATGGTGTGTACACCACCTATGGATAAAGGAGGAATTTGTGAGAATCTCTGGGAGATGACAAGTCAGCTCCAGGTCTGCTTACAGGAAGAGATTATTGAGTAACTTAGACTCTTCAGTGCACCCAATAAGTTGGATGATAGCATGACCTTCAAGCCACCACTCATCAAGTCCAAACAACAACTGGGCAAATCAAACAGCCTTCATACTTTTTTCCTGTTTATATCTATAGGCTGCAGCTGGGCAATGCATTACTACACTTTGCTCTAATGAGCAGTACAGACATTAGTACTGCTCATGTGCCTCACCTGTGCCACACCATGATAAGCTGAGCTATGTATATTAAAAAGTACAAACAAGTTCACTGGTGGTATTTGATGAATACATCTGCTGTCTCTGGCCTGCCTTCCTTGCCAAGAAGATAGCTTGACCATCCCTTGATTCACCTTCGCACCAGAAACAGTTTTACAAAGCCAAGGAAAACGGAAGATAGCAGATCAAAATGAAAGACAGACTTTTCTTACATTTCCCTCCAGACACTGAACCAAACATGCAGTGTGATTGATCTCTGCATGTGGATACAAAGGATAGCCCCAAATTATATACTGCATCTCGAAGCAACCCTAATTAGCACAAACAAGACCAATTCAGGCTGGCATAATTTGGCTGTCTTGTTACAGATAACTGAGATAACTGCTACACAAAGAGAGAGAGAGAGAGACACAAATACACCCTACAGGTTATCAAATGTTCTAACTATCCTACATGTAGAAAAAAATGTGAAGAAGTAAAAGTAACATCTATCCCACACTTAGATTTTGCTGCTGGTCCTCCTAGAATCATAGAATAATGGAGTTGGAAGGAGCCTATAAAGCCTTCAAGTCCAACACCCTGTTCAATGCAAGCATCAACATCAAAATACATATGATAGATCATCATCTAATGTTCTTTTGAATGCCTCCAGGATTGCAGTGCTCCAATGCGAATTGGTTCCATTGTCTTATGATTCTAACAGTTACGTTTCTTCCTGATATTCAGCCAAAATTTGGCTTCCTGTAACTTGAGCCCACTGTTACATATCCTGCACTCTGGGATGATTAAGAACAGATCCTGCCTCTCCTCTGTATGACAGTCATTCAAGTATTTTAAGAGTTCTATCTTATCTCCCTTCAGTCTTCTTTTCTCAAAGCTAAACATGCCCAGTTCTTTCAGTCTTTCATCATATGGTTTGGTTTCCTGTCTGTTGATCATCCTTGTTGCCCTCTTCTGAATTTCTTCCAGTTTGTCTTACGGCACATCAGCCCATCATTCCTATTGTTTCAGCACCCTTTTATCCATTAATCCCACCAAAGCTAAATACTGAAGGCAATAAATCAAACAGATTAACAACCTTAAACTGCTCCCAAAAAAGGAAGAAAATAAAGCTCATATATAAAAGAGGCAAAACTAGAGTTTCTTGTTATTCCTCATTAACAGCTGAATTTAAAATATTGTTCATTCAAACAAGCCTGGATTAAACTATGTTTTATCATCCTGGGTTTTTAGCACACCATAGTTTACACTGACCCTAGTTTCTCTAATCTAGACATGATGCAAATCACTGACTCAAAAATGAAAGCAGATATTTATGACTTTGCAACAGATTTAGAGAAGTAGAAAATAATGGTATATACTGTAAATCCAAGGCACATCACTATGCCTACGCTCAGCACTAAATTATGGATTAATGTTATATTTCAACCCATTCAATACAATTTTTATCAACAATAGTTTCAAGCTCAAAGCTTATTTTACTTCTGGAATTCTTAAGAAAATGATATACAAAGGAAGTATTCCCATACCTTTATTACTTCCATGCACAAGTCAGTCTGGAAAGTTACTTCAACCAAAATCCCCATTTCAACTAATAGGAATGTTTCACATGTAGAATAGCAACATGGAAAATCTGAATTCAAGTAGCTTTGATAAATAATATATTACAGTGGTGCCTCGCAAGACAATTTTAATTCATTCCGCGAAAATCGTCGTCTTGTGAAAAAAATCATCTTGCGAGGTTCCCTATGCATCGGTATAAAAAAAAAGTCTTGCAAAGCATCGGTCTCAAAAAAAAGTCTTGTGAAGCACAGTCATAGAAAAAAAGTCTTGCGAGGCACCATGGTGATCGCAAAAACCAATTGTCTTGTGGGTTTTTCATCCCATCAGGCAATTGTCTAGCGAGGCAACACTGTACTTTTAGAGATTTATCTTTGTTCAAGCCAAAAGTGCCCACCTGAGCAAATACACTGGATCTGCTATCACTCGTAGCCTCTGTAGTTCCTCATCTCGAACAGGTGCACAAAGCATTGCCATTGTATCTAGGACGTAAGTGGTGAGGTTGGCAATGTCCAAAGCCCCATGTTCAGCTTCTTGCTTTATCAATTCCATGTCCAGAGCTTCTTCAATTTGACTCTGCAGACGGGTTTGCTGGGGTAAAAGCAGTGACAGCAGTGCCTAACACAAGAATGGAGTATAACCATTGTGCAAGCAGCTCAAAATGATTTGCAATCTTGAGTTTCAAAAACATGAATAACTGAATAGTATGATCGTTTCCCATACAAAAGCTTTAAGTGCAAAGTGCAGGTGCCCCCCCTCTTTTTTTTCTTTTCTTTTTTAAAAACAATTTTCCAGGCTAGTTAGCTTTCACACATCACTAACTATAAAAAAATAACTGTATGATTGACTGTATCCTCTGGGTCTGAATAGTCTGAATAAAGTGCAGACAAATATAGGGATGACTCACAAAAGACTGCTACTGAACTGCACAGTTGTGTGGCAAATACTAACTTGAACACTGGATGTAACAAATTACATGCTTGTTGGATCCTTGCCCTTCGTGGCTCATAAAAGCCTCCAGAAAGGGACTGGTTGATTGTGTAGGAGTGGTGAACACCTCCTTGCAACAAGGTAGGATCCCATCATGTTTAAGGGAAGCAATACTAAGACCATTGTTTAAAAGCCTTAGTTGGACCCCACAATACTGAATAATTATAATTTATAAATAAATAAATAATAAATAATTATTGACGAGTTTCTAATATCCTATTCTTGGGGAAAGTACTAAAACAAGTTGTGGCCTCTCAGCTCCAGAGGTTCCTGGATGAGACAATATCTAGATTAATTTCAGTGTGGCTTCAGGCCTGGTTATAGGACAGAGACAATTTTGGTCGCCTTGGTAGATGATCTACAATGGGAACTGGATAGGGGATCTGTGTCCCTGTTGGGTTTGCTGGACCTCTCAGCGGCTTTTAATACTATTGACCACAATATCCTCCTGACCCATCTCTCTGGAATTGGACTTGGGGGCACGGTTTTATGGTGGCTCCACTCCTTCCTGGAGGAAAGAACTCAAGTGGTGGTGCTGAGGGAGTCATGTTCAATACCCTGGCCATTGACCTGTGTGATCCCCCAGAGGTCTGTTTTCTCTCCTATGTTATTTAACATCTAAATGAAACCACCAGGAGAGATTACCCAGAGCTTTGGAGTTCAGTGACACCAGTATGCGGATGACACTCAACTCTACCTCTACTTGCCACATAAATCCAAGGAAACTGCTTCAGCTCTAAATCAGTGTTTGGTAATGGACTGGATGAGGGTGAATAAATTGAAACTTAATCCAGACAAGACAGAGGTGCTTCCAGACAGTCAAAAGGCAGATCAAGGAATACAGTTGCAGTTGGTACTGGATAGAATTACACTCTAATTGAAAAAACAGGCATGCAGCTTGGTGCTCCTGGATTCATCTGAGTCTTGATGACCATGTCTTGGCAGTGGCCAGGAGTGCATTTGCACAACTAAAACTAGTGTGCCAGCTACTTCCATTTCTTGAGAGATCTGATCTGGCCACTGTGGCACACACTCTAGTTACTTCCCAGCTGGATTACCGTAATACACTCTATATGGGGCTGCCGATGGAAAGTGTAAGGAAACTTCAACAGGTTCAAAATGCAGGAGCCAGATTGGTGACTAGGGCTGCTTACAGGAATCACATAACACCACCATTACAGCAGCTCCACTGGCTGCCAATCAGTTATCGGGCTCAAAGTCCGACATACAAAGTCCTAAATGGCCTGGGACAAACTATATCAAAGACCATATCTCCCATTATGAGCTGGCTCAGGTGTCAAGATTATCAGGAGAGGCCTTTCTCTCAGTCCTGCCACCTTCACAGGGGTGTCTGATGGGAACACAGTAGAGAACCTTCTCTGTTGTTGCTCCCATATTTAGGAACTCCCTCCCACAGGAGGCCAAACTGGCCCCATCTTTGCTATTCTTCCATAAGCAGGCAAAGAACTTTCTCTTCAGGCAAGCCTTCCCTCAGTAACCAGCTACCTGTGTGTGATTTTTAGATAGATTGTTATGTATTACTGCTTTGACTGGATTTTTAGTACTGCTTGTGTTTTCCATTTTGGTGTTTTCCATTTCTCAGAGTGGCATTTAAAAAAAAAAGTATCCTTATTGATCTTTGCCTTAATATTGTCTGCTAATGGTGTAAGATGCGTCTTTACTCATTGTTCATAGTTTTAAATATTGTCTTTTAACTATGCTAACCACTGTGTATCTCATTATTTTCAACTTTAAATATTGTTTTTCATTGTTGTAAGCCACCTTAGGTCCTTTTCAAGGAGAAAGGCAGGGTAGAAATATTTTAGGTAGGTAAGATAGGCTAGGTAGGTAAGATGGATGGATGGATGGATGGATGGATGGATGGATGGATGGATGGATGGATGGATGGATGGATGGATGGATGGTTATTCATTCAGTATGGGCCAGTGTCCATCCACAACTCAAATTGCTTACATTTAAAGCTGGCTGTTACTGTATAGGAGGAATTGTCTTCCATGATAGAAATCAAAATTCTTCCAGCAGTGTAAAATACCGTATATGCCGGCCTACAAGGCGACCGGCCGTATAAGACGACACCCCCCCCAACAGGAAGACCCTGGGTGGGCGGAGGCCGGAGGAGGAGGAAGAGGGGAAATGGGGGCGGGGGGCGGCGGGCTCTGGCCAAGGGTGAGGAAGAGGGCAAGAGGCTGAGGGGGCGCGGCAGGAGGAGGAGGAAGAGGGGAAATGGGGGGTGGCGGGTGAGCGAGCGCGCCACTGGCTCAGCGCGCACAGGGCGGCGGGCTCTGGCCAAGGGTGAGGAAGAGGGCAAGAGGCTGAGGGGGGGTGGCAGGAGGAGGAGGAGGAAGAAAAGGGGAAACGGGGGGTGGCGGGCGAGCGACCAAGTGAAGTGCACTCGGCGTACAAGATGACCCCACACACACTTGGACGCATGTTTTTTGGGCCCAAAAAGTCATCTTGTACACCGGCAAATACGGTAGTTCTTTTGTTTTGGAACTCTTGTTTTACTTCCAGTCCCATGTAAACTTACTAAAGACCAAAAAAATCTGAGCATCACAAAAGGTCAATAATAAAGCACAAGTAAGGATATTTCCTCACTAACCTATGTATCACTCACCTCTTTGATCTCTTGAAGTAATTTGACAGCATGGGAATAATCTGGCGGACTTTTAGAAAGCTGTTCTCTCAGATTGTCCCAAAATGCTTTGTGCAATGTCTCTTTCACTCTGTTTTCCAAACTATATTAAATCAAAAGCAATTGGGTAAACATTTTTCCACCCACAATTTAATACCAAGTGACCCATAGTAAAGCCTTCAGTATTTCTTCCTCTAACCTATTAAAATCTTTCCCATCATGAGAAACATCAACAAAAAGAACTAAACAATTAAGTCCTTGAATGTCAGAGTGAGAATGTGAGGTACACATACAGCCACCACAACACTGTACTGGAATATTAGCAGACTGCAGCTCAAAATCTTGCCCCCCACATCATATGGCCACTGTCGCACTGTTTTATTACAGTACTGCTTTGTGCAGTCTCTACACATAGCTCTTCATAGTCCTACGTAAATTGTTGTAACTTCTCACGCAAATACTGTCAGGAGGAAAATGGAAATTCCTACTTACTGCAGTTTATATAGTCAACAGATTACAGAAGTGGATTAAGAATTTCACATCAAATGTTTATTCTGAGGTATATTTCTTCTACATAATTTTTAAAGTGTACAAACATGATATACCACTTGAAATGGAGACCGTTTATATGCATCATAAAGATCTTGTGTGTTTAACACTAAACCTATTTCCATTTCTACAAATGTATGCCTCGGTTATGTCTCTAGGTGGAATGAGACAGTAAGGGCAGCCAAGGATACTGCTGCTGAGATGATTATTGGTGCAAAGTATAAAGAGGAAGGCAGGAAACATCACATGATACACAGCAACTAGTGCCCATATCTCTTTCTAATTAACCCACCCCCTTCTTTCTTTGTTGAAGAAAGTGATGGTGCATCCTTTTTTGAAAGAGTTCTCCCTCAACTAAGGGTGTTAAATCACTGCCACTTAATTGCTAAAATCCTAATGCTGAACAAGGTGAATGATAGGGTGGCATCCAACCAGCTACATATGTTCCTGGATATAGCAGAGTTATCTAGAATATTTTCAGTCTAAATTCAGGCTCAACAGGGCACAGAAACAGCTCTGACTGCCTTTGTTAGGGAGATGGTGGGATCATCTTCCTTCATTTTTCAACTGTTTTTGATGCTACTGACCATGTGTCTCCTTGGAACAGCTCAGAGGGCTGAATATATTATCATGTATCCACTCCCAATTTGAGAGTTCTTTCCAATGGTCATTCAAAATATCCTTTGCTGTAATTTAAATCCAATGGTTCTGGTCCTGTCCTCTAAAGCTGCAGAAAACAAGCTTGTTCCATTTCCTATGCAACAGCCTTTCAAATGCAACACCTCTCAGCTTCCTCTTTTCCAGAACGAACAGATTCAACTCCTTCAGTCTTCACAGTGTTGAGTTCCCAGTGTTTTATCATTTGGTTGCTCTCATCTGGACTAATTGAAGCTTGCTGACATTCTTCTTCAATTGTAGTGCCCAGAACTGGTCATAATATTCAAGCCGAGGTCTTACCAAAGCAGAAGAGAGTGGTACTACTACAGTACTTTCCTCTATCTGAATGCTTTACTTCTGTCAATGAATCTTCATATTGCATTTGTTTCTGCTGCCACATCACATTAGTCACAAAATATGAGGGAGAGAGTAAGTCAAAGGAAATGGGGGGGGGGACTGGTGTCTTAATACTTTAAAAACTGCCCTTTCACCAAATCAGCCTGTGGCCTTCTTCAGGGGCTATTTAAAAGAAGCAAAGGGGGACAGTGTTTTGGTTATAATTGTAGTTCTTATGGTTTCAAACATTTAGCAATCTGATTTAGGAGGTCATCATTCCAATCTTCAGTCTGACTAGGAGGTCTGCAACAGATATTCATAGTTATGCCACTATTTTCACTCTTCCCTCTGATTTTCACCCAAATGCTCTCCACCAGCATGCCGTGCTTCAGCTTCGTGGATCTCACAGTTGTGCACATTCTTTACATTCACTTCTACTTCCCTTCCCTGTGAGGAAGGGCAGACTATAACTCAAATATTACACTACACTATTGGAGGAATAGGTTTACATGTTGTTCAACTATTAAAACACACTTATGGGATAGATTACCTAATGCTACTCTTTCAATTAGAGGGGGTCGAGTTACTGGAGTATTGAAATTAGCTGGCTTTTCTTCTGTGTGATTATGCATAGGATTTCACTATGTACATTCTTATACAGAGTCACAGTTTAAATATAAATTTTTGATATTTTCTATATATTAAAACATTACAAAAACTAAAGGATGCCTATGCTAAACAAAAATCTAGAAATTAAGGCTATTTAATATATTCCAATCCCACGCTGATTTTACCAGTTACACTCTTGTACAGCATTGCCTGAAAACTGTCTGGAGTATGGGGAAAATAACAATAACTACCTGTTTGGAGCAAAGTTCACTTCTTGCAACTTGAACTCCTGATTTACTATGATTTCATGTGCAATGGTCATTTTTGAGACTTCGTTGGCTGTTTCTATCAGTTCTGGCATAGAAAAAAGTTGAGGAAGGCTAGCTGAATGGAAATAAAATAGAACAGCTCTTACTTTATCCACCAAAGGTGAAAGCAATATTTATACATGGACAGCACAACTTTTAAAACTGATCAGTATTCAGTCAAAAAGGTACACAACTTGAGAACAGCGAAGCTAACTGCAGCTCAACAGCTATGTATTTTCAGATGATTTACCTGTATGTTTTCTTTGAATGTAGTATTAACTGCCTTGAGTCCCATTTTGTGGGGAGAGGGAGATGGAATATGGATCTAATAAATAAATAAATGATCCAATACTGTACTCACCCATCATCAACCTCTTGATAATAACACAAATATTATTTCATCTAATAAGTATGTTTAGGAAAAAGTTTAATACATATTCTGAGCTTTGCTGTTTGGCAAAGTTGTTTTACAACAACTTTATCTAATACTGTATGGAAAAAAGATTCTATTAGTCTTAAACATCATCATATTAGCCTAAAGTCTTCCTGCACACCTTTGTATGATTTTCTTCCCAAAACAATTGCATAAAACTTTTACAATTCACTTCAGATGTCACATTGATTGCCAAAGTACTTTCAGATTTTTTCAACAAAACCAATCACCAAGTTAAAGCACTTTTTTGTCCTTAATACCTGCCAATTTGCCTCAAATACAAACAAAACCTGAGTTTTACAGCATTCAAACATAGTTACACATACAAGATGGCATCTCAGGCGGACAAAGATTCGGAATGTCTCCACCATCACTATTTTCATGTTCCCTTGCTTTTCCAGCATTACACTCTGTGCCTTTTTGAGAGTCACTGCAGTCACTAAAGGTGGCATCCTGAACATTAGGCATCTTGTTCCTAGTAGAAGAAACAACTTTAATGATACAGAGCATCAAAGCAACTTCTGAAAGGTGTGGAAATTAAATTTTAATGCAACCCAGTTAGGCAAATGAGCATTAAAAAGGTACTATTTCCTAAGATAACAGTGGCCATACTGCACTGTATATCCTAGCAGCTCATTTATTTGTGATCTCTGACTGCTGCACATAAGATTGACAATGAAGTATGTTTCATACCATCGCCCCTCCACTCCTTGATGCCTACCCCACTTAAGTATTAAACATAAAGAATTATCCACAACCTTTCTTACACCTATGTAGGGAAGGACCCCCACTGCACCTCAAGATGAACCTTAAAGCCTGCAATTTCAGTTTTGGGACTAAAGCCTAATATCAGATACCAAAACAATAACATCCAATCAAGGATGATTTTTGGACTCTCCCAATTCCAAACTTTGTAATGCCCGGCCTGAGAAGTCCTGAACGACTCAAAAGCTTGTATTTTTAGTATTTCAATGGTCAAATAAACATATTATCTAACGCTACTTTTATTTTACTTGTGGACCAAATAGCTGTATTTCTTTTTTAATAGGGAAGTTTATCTCATTTGTCTTCACTCAACTACAATACTTTCACTGTTTTGTCTCATACCTTGGAACTAGTTACAAATAATAACTTTTATACTGCAATAACAAACATAACCCAGTTATATTACAACTGTAATGTGCCAAGTGATTACTTGAATCCTCTTGCAGTATATCTATAACTTGTTCTAGATACGTTTTTCATTACAGAAGCTCAGTACTTAGGTGTATTTCTACAAGAGGCCAACAGGCTTGTAGCTCTCAAATTTCTTAAACTGACAAAAAGGTAACTGTCCAATCACAATAAAATTGTAATAGTAACTAGTGCTATTTAAAAGTAACTTTCCAAAGCTTAGTTCGCCCTTATTTATTTTTTAGAACTCAGTGTGGGAACGTAAACATAGAAACTGTGATAAGTACTGAGACGAGGCTGCCATGAAACACAAGGAGTCCTAGGTCCCAATCTTATTTCCCGTGGACTTTTGCCTCACTGTTTAGGTTTCTCTCTATACTCTATATAATACAAGAGCCGTGGGCCACCATTTCAGAGTCAGGCCGTCCTTCTCCTCGGCCTTACCACCCAGCCGTGTGACAAACTGGGCTCTATTCCCTCCAAACCCTCTTTTATCTCTCGTAGAAGCCGCAGGACTCTGAAAGAGGAGGAGGCGAGAGACTCTCGCTCCCTCCACGCCGCAAATGACTTCCGAGCAGGTATTCGTTAGCCTAATAAATATGCACAAAGAGCAAGGAGAAAACGGGAAAGCCCCCCGTGTGAAAGCAGGCGGTTTTCCTCGCCGTCGCCTTTGTGAGAGACGGACGAATAAGAGCGCGCCACATGAAAGACCTGAGGGAGGGCAGGGGAGATGAGGCAGAGCCAAGCGGCGATGACAGAGGGACCGGCAAAGCAGCGCAGCCCCGGCCTCAGGCCGCCTTTAAACAGCCGCCGCGGTTCCTAAGGGGTTCGTTAGTGTTGCCACCCTCTCCTGCCTAGCCAATTCCAACGGGATGGAACCAACCATCTACTCGTACTGGGGGGGGGAGGTTATGCCACGTGAAAAAAAAGTTGGTGAAAAAAATTCTGGTTTTCCTGTCGCAGAGTAATTAAGAAATATTTGTATATTTCTCTCTTCAGTTTAAAGTTATAGTTTCCTTCTCATGCTTTTGCACTGAGAGAACGGGACTCCCCAGTTTTGTTATAAGTAGCTTATTCCAGCCTCGTGGGCAGGGCTTTATTGTTGTGGATGGAACCAAATACAGCAGGAATGGGAAAGGGATACACTACTAAGTCAGTATTCTTTGAGGAGGTATTTCTCAGGATGAAATATTTGCCCAGTGTAATTATTATGTGATGCCTGGTAAATACAAGCCCCGAGGGAAAAAATAGTTTTAGTATAAGGAAAGTAATTTCTCAGCATAAAGGATTGTAAACGATAGACAACAGCGCCATCTAATGCTTTAAAAATTCAATCTCCACATTATTTAGGCGTGGAAGTTTTCAATTCAGTCTTTTCAGTGCCATTAACTCGACAGCCCTCCGATGAGTTTTCTAGTATAAAGCAGTCTCTCCTCCGGGTGGCGCTCTGGGACTATGGAGCTTGCCCGAGGCCGCACAAGTGGCAGGGCACTTGACTCCCCCCATCTCCGTTAGATCTGCCCCATCCCAGCTCTAAAGCAAGGTGTTCCAACCTGTTCTCCTGACTAACATTCTAGGGTCCTGGTTGTTTTATCTGGTCCTAGTCTCTCATGGTTGTCCCTGTTGATAACGGCAGCAGGAGCATGGTGGTTTCTCCCAGGTATTCTATCTCATCTCAATTGCTTGCCCAGTTCGAAGAAGTCCCAGGTCCCCAGGATTCTCTCTTCTCCATCATCTCTTGTGCCCTTCATTTGGCTTTCTCTCTCCTTTCTTGTTCTCCTCTTGCTCTCTCCTCTCTCAGCCTATGCCCCCACTCTTGTGCTTCTTTCTCTCCTCAGTAAGAAGGTTTCTGAGGAACAACTACTCTCCTGTGCTCAGCTTCTTCCCTGGGCACCATCAATCTCTCCCACTTGTGTGTCAAGGGATTCTTTAAGCAGATCCATTCCCATCCAGTTGGCAGGATCCTCTCTGTCTTACTACTCTCACTTTCTTCTGTCTCTACTAAACTAGACGTTGTGCCTTCCCCCTTTCTTATACTTTCTTTCCTGCCATTTTTCTCCTGTCTTCCTGACTGGGCTAAATTCCCCTTCTCTGTTTCTGCCTTTTTAAACTGTTCTCCCAGCTTTTCAACTTTTCTCAGGTCCTGATCAGTTTCCTCTTTCATGACCCCTTTATAGGAACCTATAGGGACTGTCTCTCCGGGCACAGCATCTCTGCACCTCTGTTCCTTTCCCCTTTTTCCATTGGAATGGATGGCACTCCGGCAAGAGGTGTCTCCATCTTGCCTCCTTGCTTACACTACGGTGTCCATAAAAGATCCCCTCAAATACCATATTGACAAAGTATGACACTCAAAACAATAATTCTCTCAGAGCAGTATATACATTTTTAAAATTCTTTTCTAGTTTGAGTCTGCGGTGGTCCATTAGAGGTAACATTTATTCTGGAAAGGGTTAAATACCCATGTGAATCATATAATCAAAACAATAATATAAAAGTTCATCTGGGTATCAAGGTATATGTCATTTACTTGCCCCTGCCTGATTCACCAGAAATGTCAAGGTGCAGTAATTAATCAGTCTGGTCTTCTGGCTAGCTTGCAAAGAATGTAACTTCAAAATTTCTTCCATCCCTCTTCAGAGGAAGAGACTAAACCCTTTATTTCACTCATGGTTAAGTTAAAAGAGGAAAAATTGGTTCAGGTTACAGTAGCTTGTCTAATTCTACAAGTTTTATCCATCCAGATTTCTTACATGCATAAAATATTGTCATTGAAGACATACAACTTTTTGAAAAATCCAAAATATTGGGGCCTCTAGTTATTTAATTAATTTATTCATTTAATTTGTCTACCATCCCATTACTGCAATGCACTATTCTGGGTGGTTTACAGCATGATAATATAGAACATCACAAGAACAATGAAATTATAAATAAAACAATCAGAGAAATAAAACAAATAACAAGAGGAGTATTATCCCACCACTTTAGGTGTATTTCGATATCTCTAAATATAGTTTTTACAGCTATGAGCAAAGCTGTAGGTATCAATGCTTAAAATATATGAATATTGAACTTAAGTTGTAGGAAAATACTTAAGTCAGACAATATATTTCAGTTATAAGCTTTTAGGAAAAAAATTAAAAACAACTTAGATCTTAGTTCAATACAAAAATGCAAGAGTTTTTAGCCTTAAAAAGCACATATTGTTAAAAAAATCAAGATCTATAAAAGTAGCAATAGTTTTTTTTTTTTAGCCTTTTAATATATTGGAACACATGCAAGAAAAATACTAAGATTTTTAAATGCTCACCAAGACATCTGCCAGTTAAAATCTATGGAGAAAATCCATTATTTCTCTGTCTTACCATCTCTGCAACCTTGCTATTATCTTTTTCTCCCTTTGGCTTCTCGGCTCACCTTGGCTTGGTTCCGTTGCAGCTCCGCTAGACTCGCTGACTCTGTCCTGGTTGGCAGCTTGCTATTCCACCAGCCCTTTTATAAGCATGGATGTTTAAATTATCTATTTGTTTATGTTTCCTTGCCAAGCTTGAAGATCCTACTAGCTTAATGCAAAATTTCATAGACTGCTACCCAAACAAACATTCTCTGAGAAGAGGAAACAATAACATTCCTTCTTATATTCTCTCTGTCCTAAACTAGCAGTGTTAATGCATTTTATCATAGAATCTGCTTTGGTAGCAAACACCATGCATTCTCTATGGGAGATGCTACAGTTGCAGACCCAATTGATTTTTGACAGGCTCTGCTATTCACACTGATGACATGGAATTTAATATAATTTTGTATATGGGTAAGTTTGAACATGTTGAACATATGTTGAGAAAGGCCACTTTACTTGTAAATATGTTTGAATTTGCTTATGAGTTCAAATGTAGGTTGCAGAGAAAATGTGAAATGTCATAGAAGTGCTAATTATTAATATTAGAAGATGCAAAATTAAAATTGAAACTTGTTTCATGACTCATGGAATTAAACGTGATGGGACTGTGATATATATGGGAAGGTGCCTGTGTACTGCCACATTGCCTATTATGTCTCTTTTTCCCTTTTCTTTTTTCTTTTTAACTGAGCTCATCAGAGGCAATTGGAGTTCTATAGCAGTTATGTATTTTGGCTAGTACAGCATAGTTTAAATCTTTAGAATTATTTTTCTGTATGCCACCAGATGGCGGCAACCTTTTCAATATACAAAAGCATACTGTATAAAAACTGTTTGAAATGCAGAGGGTTTGCCACAGGAAAGAACCAACTTCAGTCCAAAGACTGTACAGTACTCCTAAAAAGTACTTAGCTCATTTAGCATTGTATAATGTGGCTTCTTTCTTTGAGAAAGCTGACATTCTCATACTAAATTTACTTCCCACCTTAAAAAGACCTCTGGCATTCACACACCTTGATTCCTCCTACTGCCTCCTTATGGCATACTATAATTTGCCTTGATCATAGGCTATAGTCTTCTATTATAAAGTTAATATGCCAAGAATGCTATAGTGGGGTAGATTCAAACTTCCTGAATGCAGGGGTGGTGACCTAGAGCAGCTTTCCCCAAATAGATGCCCTCCCCACTGGAAGTATTATACCATAGCTTCCATCATTCTCAGCTACCACGAATCAGCTATAATGGCTAGGAATACTGAGGACTGTATGTAGTTCAAAATGTCTAGAGCCTGATGGGACTGGAGAAGATTTCCTAGATTTTTCCATAAACTCATTTGCTACTGCTATTCTTTCTTTCATTTTATAAGCCAGAATTTTCCTTCCTACACTACACCAGGAAGTTGAAAGCAGATCTAAAGGTTTATCTATATGCCTAGTTTTTCTTCTAATCTAATAATCTAATTAGGTTTTGAACTGGCCCCATTACAATTGTGCAGGAGCATAAAGGCATCAAAAGAAATGCTAATCACATAGTTGAAAATCTGGTTCTACTCCTTTAATTTCTCCCTCTTTCTTCTCTATGTGGTATATAATTTTCCTTTGAAAAAAAGACATAACTCAGCAATTTGCTGACACTCCCAAGTCTCTCTCCTCAGTTCTTTACAATGCACTTCATAGATGGAACTCACAAATCATTTGGAAGCTATTCCTTGGTTGAACAGAATTGGAGCTGAACAAAAGGAGGTCACCCTGTCCAAGTCCCCTCACCCTCTGTGGAATGGCAGGAATTTCTGCGCACTCTATAGACTGGGGGAGTAATGGCATCAGTAGATGGCTGATTGTTTTTACATCTAAAGCCCGTGCAAGGCCCCAGCTTAATGCCTGTCAACTGCAGAGGTATTAACCCTAGATCTCTCAGAATGAATAGAAATCTTGAATACTACGAAGACCATGGAGGAGGCAATGGCCCTGCCCTCTGTTTTATTGATGTTTTTCTTTGAAGTTAAAGTAGATTGAGCATTCATCTTCCTCACATGAAACCATGTGCTGGTAGGTTCTTGAGCATCTCTCTGTCTACAATATTCATTTGCGGATTCATTTTCCGAGCTAGGCTACTGATTAAAATATGCCAATCTGAGAGAATAGGATAAAAAAGAAAAATCTTGTTCATTAAATGAAGCTGGATTATTATTAACTTTATTAATAATGTTTAATAATTAATAATGAGGAGGATGGTGTGTTGAAATAGGACCTTCTCAGCTGTTGCCCCCCAACACTTTTGGCACCAGGCAAAGACCTTTCTGTTTAGCCAGAATTTTAATTAGCTAGTATACTTTAGCTGGCCGTATGAGAAACAGGATTTATTGATGATAAATTGACTGTTTTAAGATAGGGTATTATAATATTGCCTATTTTTAATGGTTTTAATGTTTTTCTAA